CAGTTCCCCTTAAAGAACCCACATATAGAATTACATTCACTGTCTCTGAGCTCACGCACCAGGGTAGCAGCTTAAAAGGCACCAGTGGCATACAGAGAAGAACTGAAGTGTCTGGCATCAAGATGAGAGCTGGGGGACAACTGTCTCCATGCAGAAAGTCAGGCAGAGCCACAGATCCAGCAGAGTGCCAAATCTGAGACTCCATCAATCTGGCTAACACTGGAGATCCCCTGAGGCTCCTTCCCCCGCAACTTAGAGCTGTTAACAGTAGTTTTTCCATATAAATGGCTAGTCTTGACTCAAGCTTCATAACTTCCTAAGTCCTTTCAAACAAGCAGCAACTGGCCTCAGTGAGCCCCTATTCTAGCTCCTGAAGGGTGGCCCCAGGCAGAACATAGGTGGGGGATGAACTTGGCCCTCACCATCTGGGAAACCTCAGAACCCATATGCCCAGTGGACAGCTAGAGACCATGTCTGAGCACCCCGATCCTGCCCCTGCATAGCTGATCCTCCAAAGAGGGCTGAGGCCAGTGGTTACAGCCAGTCCTTGCAGTCGACTGGCCTGGCTAAACTCCTCCCCTTGACCTGCCAACAGCAATCAAGGCTCAACTACTAGAGAAGAGTGTACTCGGCCCACACAAAGAGAGCACATTGAGTACCCAGCTTGGGTGATAGGGGAGACTGTGTCACTGGACCCTTCAGGACACTAGGCTATGCTACCAAGACAGGGAGTCAGAGCACTTCTGACTAATACATAGAAACAAACACAGGGAGGCCACCAAAGTGAGGAGACGAACATGGCCCAAATGGAAGAATGGATCAAAACTTCAGTAAAAAAAAACTAAATAAAATGGAGATAAGCAATCTCTCAGATGCAGAGTTCAAAACACTGGTTATAAGGATGCTCAAAGAACTTAGGACTTTAACAGCATAAAAAAGATCCAGACAGAAACAAAGGAGGCACTAATTGAAATAAAGAACAATTTACAGGGAAACAACAGTAGAGTGGATGAAGCCGAGAATCAAAATCAATGATTTGGACCATTAGAAGCAAACAAATAAGCTATCAGAACAACAAAAAGAATCCCCCCCCGCCCCCAAAAAAAGGATAGTGTAAGCAGCCTCTGTGACAACTTCGTGTCCCAACATTTACATCATAGGTGTGCCAGGAGGAGAAGAGAAAGCGCAAGAAATTGGAAATCTGTTGAAAGACTTCCCTAATTTGCTAAAGGAAATAGACATGCAAGTCCAGGAAGCACAGATAGTCACGAACAAGATGGATGCAAAGAGGCCCACTCTTAAGACTCATCATAATCAAAATGCCAGAGGCTAAAGAAAGAATCTTAAAAGCAGCAAGAGAAAAATGGTTATCTACAGGGTAATTCCCATAAGATTCTCATCTGATTTCTCAAAAGAAATTTGCAGGTGGGATTGGTGAGAAATATTCAGAATCATGAAGAGCAGGGACCCACAGCGAAGATTGCTCTACCCAGCAAAGATACTATTTAGAATCTGAGAGCAGATAAAGAGCTTCCCAGATAAGAAAAAACTAAAGCAGTTCATCTTCACCAAACCATTATTTTATGAAATGTTGAAGGGTCTTATTTACGAAAAAGAAGATCAAAACTATAAAAAATAAAATGCAATAAATACCTATCAACAGTTGAATCTAAAGAACAAACTAAGCAAACAAGAAGAACAGAGGTGGAATCATGGATACAGAGAGCTTTTTGATGGTTGCCAGATGGAAGGGGGATGTAAGGGAATGGAGGAAGAGGTGAGGGGATTAAGAAGTACAAATAGGTAGTTACAGAATAGCCATAGGGATATAAAGTACAGTATAGGAAATGGAGAACCAAAGAACTTACATACATGACCCATGCATATGGACAATGGTGTGAGGCTTGCCTGAGGGAGTAGGGGGTACTGGATGGAGGGGGACAAGGGGGGAAATTGGGATAACGGTAATAGCATAATCAATAAAATATAATAAAAACTAAAAAAATAAAACTAAAACCTCTGTAACACTGAAGAAAACCTAGATGACCTTCAGTATGGAGATGACATTGTTACAATTTATATGTATAATTTTATGTTATTTTATTGCATATATAGGTTCATGCAACCACTGCCACTGTATTCAGGATACAGACTATTTCACCAATACAAAGATATTTCTTGGTTGTTTCTGGTTTTGGCTATTACAAATAAGGTAGACCTTATGCATTTAATGTAATGATTGGTATGGTAGGGTCTTCTATGTTATTTATTTTTTTGTCTCTTCCTCTTGTTTTCCCTATCTCTGTTTCTGATATTTGCCTTTCTGGGATCACTTGAACATTTTTTTTTTATAGAGATGTTTTCAATAGTTGCTTTAGATATTATATTAACATTCAGAGCTCTTCTCAGTCTGTTGTTCACATTTTATCAGTTTAGGTGTAGAAATAGTGCCTTCCTTTATAAATCTTTTTACCCTCCCCCATTTTTAACTGTTAGGATAGTTAAGATTTGTTATTTGTTCTGCCCAGGACTTAAGTTCCTTTAATGTTAGTGTTCATGTTTTTCATTGATGTTTGTTTAGTCTAAGATTTTATATATTACATTAGCTACTATTTCTTTGAATATTGTGTTTATTCTCTCCTCCTGGAATTTTGGTTAGGTGAATATTGGACCTTTTCAGTTTTTTTTTAATGTCTCTTAACTTCTCTTTTTTTTCCTATGCTGTATTACAAAGAATTTCTGCTGATCTGCTTTTTTTCCCAACTTACTGTCTTTTATTCTGTCTATTGTTTTCTTCAGCTTTGTCTATTGATTAATTATTTCAGTTATTTAAGTTTAATTTTTTGAAGTTCTCTTTGGTTTTTTAAAAAAATCTGATTGTTTTTTGCTTGTTTGTTTCTTTCTTTTTTATTGTTGTTCGGTTATAGTTGTCCCCATTCAACACTACCCCCGCCCTGCATTGGTCTCCCCTGTCCTGTCCAACCTCCACTCCCAAAGACAACCCCCGCCCCATTGTTCTTGACCATGTGTCCTTTGTACATGTTCCTTGACCCTTCCTCTTTCCCTTGTTATCTGCCCCCACCCCCTCTTCTGGTTACTGTCAGTTGTTCTTTATTTCCATGTCTCTGGTTCTTCTTCTTCTTCTTTTTTTCGGCTTGCTTATTTGTTTTGTTGATCAGGTTCCATTTATAAGTGAGATCATACGGTACTTGTCTTTCACTACCTGACTTACTTCACTTAGCATAATACTCTGCAGTTCCATCCATACTGTTATGAGGGTAGGAATTCCATCTTTCTGCTGTGTGGTATTCCATTGCGTAAATGTACCACAGTTTGATTCACTCATTTACTGATGGGCACTTAGACTGTTTCCAGCACTTGGCTATTGTAAATAATGCTGCTATGAATATTGAGGTGCACAGGTTCTTTGAATTGGTGTTTCAGGATTCTTAGGGTATAACCTCAGCAGTGGAATTGCTGGGTCAAAAAGCAGTTCCATTTTTAGTTTTTTTTAGGAAATTCCATACTGTTTTCCACAGTGGCTGCACCAGTCTGCATTCCCACAAAGAATGTACTAGCATTCCCTTTTCTCTACAACCTCTCAGGCACTTGTTTGTTGATTTGTTAATGATGGCCGTTCTAACCAGTGTGAAGTGGTATATTACTTATATTATGTCTTGGTGTTTAAATACAACTATACTTAAGTTTCTGTTTGAAAAGTCTACAATCTGAAATTTTGGGGGGACTAATTTAGTATGTCTTTTGACTCCCATTAAGTTTGGTTTATTACTTAGTGTTTTCAAAATTTGAATTGTGAACTAATTTTCAACATGCCTTTATCTGAGGTTTAGTTCTTTCCTGGGTTGAGAGTGTGTCCCTCCAGTGTTTTGTGTTTATTTCTGCCAAGTGTTCTAGGATATTTGATCATCCTAGACCAGATTTTATTTTGATTTTGATTTCTTACCTTGAGATTAAGAATTTCCAAGGAAGACTTTTAGTTGTTACTGTTACCCTGAGCCTAGCAGTGGTTGGTAGACAAGCTGATTTTGTCTGGTCTGACCTTTTCACTTATGTTACAGTCCTTAGTAGCTCTATGTAGGGTATCTTAGTTATAACACTTGTGTTACAGTCGTCTCTATGGCCTCATCTTTGGCTTCTAAGTTAAGACACAAGAATCTGGACTAGTAAAACAAGCATACTTCAGCCGTATCTAACATAATCTCAGTTCATAGTGTTATTGCTCTAATTTGGCTCCATAGGACTTCCCTACAAATTCTTACAAGTTTTGCTATACATTCAAAGGGATGCCTCTTTACATCAGAGTACATGTAGATTATCTAGTTTTCATAATGCCAGAAATTATAGTCTGTTTACTTGTTTATTGACTGTGAACTCTATGATGGCAGGGCCAATGCCTACTTAGTTCACTCTCAGTTCTTCAACACCTAGTACCTGATACATACTAGACACTTAATAAATATGGAGTAATGGAATGCTGTTTATTACAGAATTATTAACAATAGTGAAAAACTGAAATGAATCTAAATGTCTAATTATAAGGGAATACTGAAATAAATGTGTATATTTATTTAAAAATAAATAACTATTGCCTATATAATATTTTTCAAACAGAAAATGATGATTTAGAGAGCTGTATTGTAGACTGAAAATTATTAAAGGTTAAGTGTAGGTAATAAAATCAGGGTTCAATTTTGAATTTATAGTATTGTAACTTTAAAATATGCATAACACTGAATATGAAAAATATAAAAACTGCTTAATTGTGAACACCAAAATGCTAATAGTAGCTTATGTTGGAGTGGTGGATTGAGGATCCCTTTTTACCCTTTATTCTCTAAATTACCTATAATGTGATTTTATGAAAATACTAAAAAGATAAATATCTCTTAGTGTTCTTAAAAGTTTTTAGATTTAAATACACTAAAAGATTGATAAAAATTAAAATTTCAGAATTAGTTTTATTATTAAAATGTTTACAGACTTTTATATGAAAATACAGAAAAAGACCTTTCTGATACTCAGCGACACCTTGCTAAGAAAAAATATGAGCTACAGCTTACTCAGGAGAAAATTATGTGCTTGGATGAAAAAATTGGTGAGTTGTTTTTTCCTGATATTATGTTTTTGTTTAAGTTTGGTAGAAAAATGTTTTCTCCTCTTCAGTTATAATATAGATAAACTTGGAGATAGGCCCTTAAAAGTTTATGAGTCAATCATGGAAAAATATGTTTTTCTTCGATAGTAAACTTTTTTTCTTAGATTTAGGACCATAAATACTTAGATATGGCTTCATAATTTTCAGTATAAGTATAACTAAACAAAGCAGCAACACTTTTATAATTTATAATGATTTTTTAATTTACAAATTTTTGTATAATGTGGTTTTTTCATAGCTGTTGTAATGAAACATAGTACATGTATATTACTTTTTGTGAACAGTGTCCATATATTTGACTCTATCTATGAGATTACTTGGGTTTATAGAGAAAACTATTTTTATAAAGTCTCCCATTTATATTTCTTAATTAGTGATCTTTATGAACATATGGTAATAATTTAATGTTTTTATAACTAAAGTAAAATTTTGATGAGGAATATAAAAGAACCTATTTTAAAACAAGAAATGTTTTTAAAATTTACTATTACATAGTTCAAAACTGGCAGAAAAAATTAGGGAGGTAGAGATGCTTTTCATTGAGATAGGAAATATTAAAAAATAAATATACAAGGAGAATATTGAAAAATTCATTTCTAGATATTTTAAGTCCAAACAAAAATGTAAGGTAAGCAGTTAAATAGATAAGTTTTTATGTCAAAAGGGAAACCTAAGCTGAACATATTCATTTGGGACACATCAACATATAAATGATATTTTAAAACCATAAAATCACCTAGGGAAAATGTAAATAATGAGAAGAGGATCCGGGGCTGAGTAAGAAACAGCCAAAGAAGTAGCAAGAAAACTTGTAAGTGGCTGTTTTGGAAGGCAAGAGAGAAAATGTTTTAAAAAGAAGGGGAGTAGCATCAATTGTCAGACACTTTTGAGAAGCAAAAATAAGATGAGGATGAAAAAGTATCGATTGGATTTGGCACATTGGAGGTTTTGGTAACACTGACAAAGTTTGGATGGAGTGTTGGATGTGGAAGATAGAATAAGTTGAGGAATGGGAAGTAAGGAAGTAGAGACAGGAGAGAATGGAAATCTCTTAAGAAGTTTGGATCCTAAGGGTAGCAGAAAAATGGATGGAAGTTTGAGGTTGAGGATTTTTTTTTTAAAGCTAGGAACTACTAGAGCTGTTTCAGATCTTTCATTTATTTATTTTATGCCAATGGACATGAACTCAGATATCAGAACACCCAAAACATGTGGTTTGCCTGAAAGATAGTGCTGCCCAGAAAAGGGAATTGATATATTCTCAAGTACTATATAGATCATCCTCTTGGCATATGATATTCTCTCTCTTAGTGCTGCACTGGTTGGCTATTAGCAGGGATTAACCTAGAGATCTGCCAGTGGTTATCAAACTTCGTGTGTCTTAGAATGACCTGGAGAGCTAATAAAGATCACTGGAGCCAGCCAGGCTCCTTGGAGAAGGATATAGCCAAGGCTTTTGTACCTTTACCAGTTTTCTCAAGTGGTTGTCACGCTTTGTTGTGCATTAGAATCACATGGGAGGGCTATTTGTAAAAACATAATTGCTCTGTCCACTCAGAAATTCTAATTCATTAGGACTGGGGTTCCCAAATGACGCTGATGGTGCTGGTTGAGCCAAACTCAACCAAAACTTTGAAACCTACTATTGTATATACCTATCATTTAGGTCTTTAGCATTGATATTGACTTGTGAGTGTTTTTACAAATCAAATCAGTGTCCTGGGACAATCTTTTTTCTAGAAATTTTTAGAAAAAATTCAGAAAATTTTAGAAAAATTTGAATATTAGAAGACATTTCATTGTAAAGATGACTTCATTGAATATTTTATTAAAATCTATTAGCTACCAACTTATATACAATAGTAATTCCAGTCTAGAGCGAGGGGAAATTTTAGTAATCTACACAACTTCATCTACCTACATTCTCCTCCCCACCACAAATGAAAATCTACTTTGAGAACCTGTAATATAGAGCTTTCCTTTGCTCTTCTTATTCAAATGTGTTAAATGTGCTTTTATATTTATGAGTTACTTAGAATTTCATGATTCATCTTAGTTTTTAATCACAACAAAAGTCATGTTTTTATTTCAGATACAGGACTTATTTTTAGTCATTGAATATAATATAGGGCAGCTTACTGTGAAGAATATTTCAGTCTGTTTGAACTAGAAAAAAAATTACCTTCATTTAAAAATGCCTTTGTGAGAAAAAAGAAACCAACAGAGTCAAGAAGGAAGGAGGGGCAGGGAAAGGGAAGAGAAGGGTCAAGTCAAGGAATGTGTATAAAGGACCTATGGACAGGGCCGGGATGGGGAGAGTTTGAAGGAGGGAGGTGGGAGAGGGAGGTCAGGGCAAAGTGGTAGCGGGAAAGTGGAGACAAATATATTTGAACAAAAAATAAAAATGAAAAAAATGAAAACAATATATCAATAAATAAAAATGCCTTTATGATTACATGTTTAGATAATTTTACAAGGCAAAGTATTGCACAGCGAGAAGAAATCAGCATTCTTGGTGCAACCCTCAATGATATGGCTAAAGAGAAGGAATGCCTGCAAGCATGCTTGGATAAAAAATCTGAGAATATTGCATCCCTTGGAGAGAGTTTGGCAATGAAAGTATGTTCTAAGAACTGTGGTTTAAAAGAATGTTTGCACTTAAATCTGAATAAAATAATAGGATTCTCTCAAACTTTGTTCTAGAGAGCTGAAACTTTAAAATATGATTTTGAAGTATTTTAGGATAGCCTTAAGAAAGAAGTGTTCTTTCATCAATTTATGATTAACATTCATTGACAGTAGCTAATTCAAATATCAAAATGTGAGACATGAAAATAAAGAAATAAGACTGATTTCTTTTTAAAAGCACACCAGAGCTTATATTTTCAGGTAGCCACTTTGGGAGGCAGTATGTTTATTCTTTTAAAATTGTCTCTGTAATTGTGTCCAGAGATAGATGCACATTTTTACATCGTCCTTAGCCATTGACACTAGATGATATGGAGCTGTTAAGTAAAGCTGGGTGCTAATCTCCATCCCTTAGTTTTTGTTCAGACAACATAAAAGGAGTTGCCAAAAAGTCAGGGAAATACTGCTACCCTTTTCTAGCTCCTAAACTGATTCTGAAGGCCATTTCAAAACTGTTTTCCACACATCTTAAGCAAAAGCAGCATGATTGGAATAAGGCCTTTCCCCTCTCTAGGGAACTAATTCATTAATTTATTCATCCACCTGTTCAACAAATATTTATTGACATGTACCAGGTATTATGTTAGAAACTGAGGAGGAGTGGGCATGCCTTCCAAAGCCTATAGTATAATTGGGAGAAAGATAAATAAAGATGCTATTATGATAGAATGTGCTAAGTGCCATAATGATATATGCACAATGTGCTGTTAGAGTTTGGCAGAAACACACTTGATTTAACCCCGGGAGTTGGATTAAGTGAGGGGGAAGATCTAGGAAGATTTCCAGCAGGTGACGGTGCCTGGACTGCCCTGAAAATTAACTGGAAATTAGCCGGGAAAAGATACAGAGAATGGGTACAGTGAGAGAAGTGGTGATTCAGACAGAATACTTTTTACAGAAAGGGGAATCCAGGCAGAAGAACTCATATGAAAGCCCAGTGGCTTTCATAAGCGAATTTCATGGGATTTCTTGATAGTTTAGTATGTCCAGAGAATAGATTGCAAAGAGATAAGTATGGGGTGGGGATAGGGAGCAAAAATGAGATGGGATAGATAAGCAACAAATATAAAAATATATGTCATGTTGAGTTTAGACTATCATCAATATAGTGAATCATGAAATAATGTAAACAAAATATCACAATTAGATCTTTATTTTAAAATGAATATTCTGGCACTTGTTAATCCATGTAAAAGATGGATTATAGAGAAATGAAAATAGCAACAAGAACACCTTAGTTAGGAGTAAAATGATAAAAACTGTGTTAGGATAGTGGCAGTATCCTTGAGAGAAACAGATCTGTTAAGGGAGTAAGATTGACAAGATGTGCTTTCTCACTTAGGAACCATGCAAATAGATGCTGTGCATGAAGTGGGGAACAGGCTCAGAGAGGAAGAGTATCGACATGTCTTTGGGCCATGTAACTGAAATATTCATAAGCGCTTGGTTTTTAGGTTTGGAGAGAAAATTGAATTCAAGTTAAGAAATTGGGGAATCATGAGTCTAACTGAAGCCATCAAAGTGCATAAGATAATAAATTTTGGTTTACGTGTTTAAAAGGCTGGCTCATTACTTGATAAGTTATACCTTAATATTTTTTTAAAATTTTATGGCTTTTGGGGGGAGAGTCTCATTTCTCATATTTAACACTTTTTAAATAAACATGATTTTCTTTAAAAACACTAACACATAGAAACAAATTATTCAGGCCTGAATCTCTTCCCTCTGCTTTATCTACATTTTCCATTTCTTCCATTCTGCTAATTGTACCAACACTATCTTTTCCTTCACAAGGAATATTGAGTTGCAAATCCATTTCAAATCAAGAACTTTGTATAAGATCATGAACATAAACATATTCATCCTTTGAAGGGAAAAAATGTTTTGAATCAGGATTAAACATTCAAAAGAAGAAATGGTTTCTACAATGATATTTCAGAGCTGAATTTACAAATACCATACAGTAAAAATCAGTAGTTTTATAGTGTCATCTGGAGATTGCAGAAATAATTTCTATGGAAAAGTTTATTGTATAATAAGGTGAAGTGTGTTTTTTTGTTTTTACCTTATTGATAATTGTAGTTAATAAAGTAAGTAGGACTACTGCTTACTACCAGTTAAAGTTAGAAAACTTCAATAACAAATTCACAGATTTTTGAGTAATAAAAGCCAGAGTTATTTGTGTAATATTTTAGTTTGTTTATTTACTCTAAGTATATTTATGGCCATCTTGTCCAGATTGAAGTTTTAACAATTAGCTTGAATCTGTGTTTCTGGTTGGACAAACATATTGGGTTGTACAAAAATATTAAATTGATAATGATGGCATAGATTTTAACAGTTTGAGAAATGGTGCCATTAGGGTAATATTAAGAGAAATTAGGGCCAATAGGATATATTGTTGGATTCTACCCAGTAATTTTGTTGCCCTGGATGCTTTACAACGTTCTTAGATAATCTTTCATGACAAATGTCTATTGATAACAGGAAGTCCTTTATAGACTGACAAGCCATATTTAAGCTTAACGAAGTAACAACTTTCAGAAACACTGGAAGTTCAATTAATTTTTCAGAATTTATTTAGAAATGTATTAGAATATTAATACATGCTTTTGAATATAATTTATTTTAAACAGTATTTTCTCTTTGAGTTTTTCCTCTATTGGCTGTGCTTTGTTAATGGATATGGTATCCATAGGCCAATATCCATTACTACTGGGTGTGAAATCTGCTCCTTTCATTTCACCATGAAGCAGAATGGGAAACCAGGGCTAAAACTACCCTGGAGGGAGCACATGAATACAGAAAAATAACCTACAAACATGGATGCACACACACACAATTAAACTGTCTCTTTAATGAACAGGAACAGAACTGGTTGGGAAATAGGGGTTTTGTTTTTCATCTTGTTTACTTGGTTACTAAGAATTTCAAAATTCAAAAGCAAAGTGAAATATATTTAGTGAAAGAACAGCTTTCCTACTTTTTTAAGGTTAATGTTGGTCTAAGTATCTGTGAATAGTATCTGTAACTAGTTCACATCAACAAGAATTTTCAAAGGAGGAGGTATTGGAATGGTATTGATGGCATGAAGATAATCACACCCATTTCAACCTTCACTGACTGCATTCATCTACTCCCTCACCACACCCTTGAAAAAAGAAAATATTAGTAGTTTCTTTTACTTCTATTTTTTGCTCTAGGCCTAACTCTTACCTCCTTATTTAACTCACACCTAATCTTAATAATATACTTTTATAAATAACTCCATTTTAGCAGCTTTTTGAAGATGCTGTTGATGACTAATATAAATAATATACTTGATCAAAGTTATTACTCTTAAAAAATAAACTTATTTCTACATAGTTCACTTTCCTAGGTTTTATAACGTGAAGAGAGAAAGTGAATTAATCATATTCTTCATAGAGAACACCCTAATGCAAACCATTGGTTGGCCTCTAAGTACAGAGTGCTCATGAGGTTCTCATGTTGCTGGGTGACTGCACAAAGCTTTAACAAAATATTTGATATATTGATCTCATATCATGACACCTAAGTGTAGCCTTTACTTTTTAATGAGCATAATCTGTTGTTCTTATCTAGTACAGATATTCACAGGATATATTAGGCTTTAGTTTTAAAATGTAGAAAAGATGAATAGAGCATAAATGTTTAAACCCAAGTGGAAATCAAAAAGGGTAGGGGAAATTTCTTTTTGTTCATTCAGTTTTAACAGAAATAACAGTTTAAGATGATTTTTTTTTATTTCATACTTATATTAATTTTCAAGGAAAAGACCATTTCAGGCATGAAGAATATCATCGCTGAGATGGAACAGGCATCAAGGTAAACCATTCATTCAACAAGAATTTGAATATTTCTTAGAGATGAAGTACTCTGTTAGGTACTAAGTAAGAAACACAGGGCTTATTGTTATGTATAGGATTATAACTTTTCTAATATAGGAAGAAGGCCTGAGTCAGTGTAGGGAAACAAAAGGATGTGGTTTTTGCTGAGGAAAGGAAAGTAACAGGCATTCAAGGTAGAAAGGACAGCAAAGAATCAGAGAATGTTGAGGAGCCTCTTGAATGACAAGCAGGTGAGTGAGTGAATCCGAAGTGTGAGAGGAGATGTGAAGGAGGAAAGGCTAAACACAGCAGCCTGTATTGTAGACAAGTGAGCCTTGATTTTTATCCTGTGGAAAATAAGAATTTAGTAAAGAATTTTGAGGAGAAGTTTGCATTAGAAAGATTGCCCAGGCTGAAGAACAATGACAGGTGGGGGTTGGGGAATGGGGGGACAGGAGTGGGGTGCTTGTGAGGAAGAAAATCTAGGAAAATGTCAGGTTTTTTGGCTGGGAATGAATATTGGACATGTAGAAAGTGTGGAAAAATATGATTTTCCTCTGAGTTGGAAGAACCTTTGAGACCTTTTAAATATGTCTCATAAGCAGTTTGAGAGTCTGGAGTGTAAGGAAGAGGCTGAGGTTGGAATTAATTATTTTAGAGTCATCTGGGGATGGGGTTGGGAACCATGGATATGAATAGTGTTTGAGTGAAGGCATAAAGTAAAAATAATCAGGAAGCTAAGAGTTGAGCCCTCAGAACCATTATGTTTTAGAGGGCAGAGGAAGAGGAACCTGAAAGGAGATGAAGACATGGCAGCTAGGGGTAGGATGAAAGCTTTCTTATATTTGAATGTCAGAAGTTTTGAAATATTTAGCTAACCATTGACTATTTCGTGTATTTAGCATCCTTTTTTCATACTGCAATGTCAGCAACAGAGAAACTCCAATGCGCTCTCTTTGCAGTCTTTATTCATATAAATTTAAATATGTTTTAAGCTTCTTCAAATGTTTTTACGTTAACTGCCCATCTTCTTTCTTGTGAGAATTTGTTACTCTGTTTTAGTAAAATGTCTCTTCTTATGTACTATTTGATTTGTGGAATAGACAGTCTACTGAAGCACTAATTATGTGTGAACAAGACATTTCCAGAATGCGTCGGCAACTGGATGAAACAAATGATGAACTGGCTCAAATTGCCAGGGAAAGAGATATCTTGGCTCATGAGAATGACAATCTCCAAGAACAGTTTTCTAAAGCTAAACAAGAAAACCAGGTATATTTTCCCAATATATTTTTCTCCAAGAAAATGTATATTTCTTCTGAGGCCCAGTTCTCTTTTCATTGTGTAGAAAAAGCTCAGGCTTTGGAACCAGCCTTTTTTTTTTTTTTTTTTTTTTTTTTACCTTTATTACACATGCTGCATAATCCCTTAAAATCTCAGACATAAAATGTTGAATGTTAAGGAAATGAGGGAGCAGGGGGGATATAATAGATTCGTAGTAGATCTTAGAAATATTCAACAAATGGAAGATTAAAAACCTTCAGAAACTTTTGAGAAAATGATAGATTTATTTGATGGACTATTATTCTGTTTACATACGAGTGTATGAACTATGCCACATTTTTAGACAAGCACTGTAATTTTTGTCAGGAAAATTTTGTTTATAATTACTTCCTTTCTAAGCCAATATACTTTATCTCACAGTTCTCATTTTCAACATCATTTTAGTTTTACCATTAAAAACATTGTATTTGGAGGCTTTCTTCCCCACTGAAAATTCTTCAATCCAAATGATTTTCCCCACTTTGCTACCACTCTCAGTATATTGAGTTTGCATCATAAAAGCCTGTATTCTTTAAATGTTAAATATTTATTTATATAAATAGATATAAAGATGCAACATTTTGTTAATTATAAAAAACTGCCTTAGATGTTAAATGATGTTTTCAAAAGTTAATGAATAATGGGATCCTGGAACAGAAAAGGGATAGTACATAAAAGTGAAAGAAACTGGCTGGGTAGCTCAGTTGCTTAGTGTGTCATCCACATACACTAAGGTTGCAGGTTCAATCTCTAGTCAGGACACATACAAGAAGCAACCAATGAATGCTTATATAAGAGGAACAACCAACCGATTTCTCTCTAAATAGATAAATAAATAAACAAATTTTTAAATGAAAGAAATCTAGATAAAATATGGACTTTCATTGATAATGTATAAATATTGGTTCATTAATTCTGATAAGTATACCATACTAATGTGAGATGTTAATAAAAGAGGAAACCAAATATAGGATATATGGGAACTCTGTACTATTTTCACAACTTTTCTGTAAAACTATTCTAAAATGAAGTTTATTTTTAAAAAGTTAATGAATGGCAGTAAAAAAAATGTGAATTTATAATTTTGTGTTTTCTGTAGCTAGAGCAAATAGGCAGAAAATAAATATAATTTATATTTATGAAAACTAGATTAAAAACCCATTTTTACCAACCAGAGTTAGCCACTGTTAACATATTTTTTACTGATTTTTAATGTATTTTTTTTAAAAAATTATTCTTTTATGTGAACTTTTTATGTAAAAACCCACTTACCCCTTTATATCTTGGTTTTTCTACATGAGAAGGCAGTAGAACAGAATATTTAAAAATCACATGAGTTGTATTCCCTTGCCTGGCTGTGTGATAATATCATTTAACTTCTCTGAATCTCAGTTTATCATCTGCAAAAATGGAGAGTAAACAAGAATATGGCTAGAAAGCACTTATCAGAGAGTCCAGCATAACCACTTGATAAATATTTTGTATGCTTTTGTTAGGTTACTGTAGCATTATAAACCCTTCCTTCCTTTGTTTAAATTTTGTAAATATTTTTAATAATCAGAGGAAATGGTATAATAACAATTTTCATATGTTCAAGAGTAGTTTTTTTCTTCATTTGGGTCAAAGGTCCAAGGGTAGAACGATGCATCCCTCTGTGGACTGCAGTTAAGAACCCATATCACAGAGGATTTGGAAAACAGAAACCTTAAAAAATTTTCACCCTCAATACCAAATTTTTAACAAATTGGAATGAGGTATTTTTAGTGTTTTATCCTGATTTTTTTTTCACTATAGATGGAACTTTTGCTCTGTTATTAAAAATAATTACAAACATTTCTCATAGAGGCATAATGTACTATGGTTACACCATTATGTAGTTGCTTTATTTACTGCATCATTCACTTAATGTGAATAAATATTGTTACTATAATAATACCTCATGAACATTTCTTTCATTGAATTTTATTACATTTAATTTCAAATTGAATCAAAGCTTAGAATTTTTTAACTAGGTGAACATTTTCAAATATAGTGAATATCCATCTTGTCTTCAACAAAAAACAACACATTTTACTTTCTTGTTTTTGTTAGTATTTAAAAATGTCTCTTGATACATCACCAGATAGCAGATCACAGATTTACTCTTGCAAATTTATGTTTACTCCAATGACACATGGAAATGCCCATTCCTTGTCATAACAGAATAGCTTTAAATCTTTGCTAATTTGATAGGCAAAATAGTATTTCATTGTCTTAATTAACATTTCCTTGATAACTAGTAAACTTTAATCTTTTTACAGTATTGTCTACTTGTTCCTTTTTGTGAATTACCTGTTTGAGTTCTTTGCCTGTTTACTGTTTGGACTCATATATTCTCACTGTTTTAATATGAGCTTTATGTATTATGTATATTAACTTTTACTTATAATAATAAATATTTTAAAGTTATTCTATGGTGGTTTTGACATAGAGCAATTTTTTATTTTTTCATAGTCAAATCTAGCTTTTTCTTATAGGCACTGTCTAAACAATTGAATGATACACATAATGAATTAAATGATATAAAACAGAAGGTCCAAGATACTAATTTGGAGGTTAACAAGCTGAAGAATATATTAAAGTCTGAAGTATGTATATATTTTTCCCTCTTTGCTCATGATACCGAAGAGTTCTCACTAAAGTTATTGATCACATACACCCATGAGGAGAGTAAAATCAAGCCTTCCTTTAATGCATAGCATATTTTAGTGTTGGCAATGATGTGTTAGCTATATATTTAGAACATCACCAATGTCCAGAAAGGTAACTCAAGAATAGGTACATGGGTTTGACATCAGATGATTAAACTAAATTTGGGTACATGTGTGGCAGTCCTAGAATAAACAGAGAGCTTGACCAAGGATGTTAGATGGGTCCAGTTAGTAAAATATTATCTAAAATAGTGTAGTCAGGTTGACTAAAAATTATTGTTGGATTGTAATAGGTGCAGTGTTACCTACATACCATTGAAATCATTAATAGGAACTCCCTACCCCCCAAAAAACTGTTTTTCCTATTTTACTTAAAATATTATTTAATATCAGTCCACAAACATACCTCTAGCATTTATTCATGGTGTTCATTAGACTGTTTAGGATGGTGAGAAATAGAGGTTCTAAGGACTCCTAAATTGCAATCCCTGCTTTGAGACAGTAACGCAGCAGGCTTACGTTGACAAGGTAGGCATTCTCTTGTACTTCTTGATTTTAAGATGCCAGCAATGTAATAGCATGAATGGACAGATGCTTGGGAGTCAGACAGGCCTGACTCCTCTTCTCCCTAATTACATGGACTTAGGCAGGCTACTCAACCTCTCTGAATTTCAATGTCCCCTCTGTAATTGGGAAGAACACCCAAGTAAGTCAGATCTAGCACAGCAAGCCATTTAAGTCTATTCTGGAATAGAGCAGAATATAAGTAAGTAAATACTTGAGCAATATTTAACATAATAAACTTTCAATTAGTGTTAGTTCCCTTTTTCTCCTACCCTGTCACACTGAGATTTCACCATTAAGGATTTGGGCTTTTAGATTTTGGAGTAGTGTTTTCAGGTATCACACATCAAGCTTCTCTTAGCTTTTAGCAGACCAGTATGAGTTCTTTCATGAGATTTCATTTCACAACATAGCTGCATGGATCTAGGCACCCCTTCCCCCTGGGAGAACAAACTGCCGGTAGTCCAGTAAGAATTGTCAGGTGCATTCTTCATTCACTTGTTCATTCAGCCTGCTGTGTGCTAGGTGCAGAGGTACCAGAGATGAAAAACTGAAAGGAAACAGAATGGCACCCTAGGCAGTAAGGACAACGTAAGCAAAGGTGTCAGGGGGAAATAATAGGTCCTGTAGCTAGAGTGGAGTATATAGGTGGGTGATAATAGGTAAAATGACTTGTTTGAACGCTGTTATCAGGAAACTTTTGTTACAACATAAGCCCAGAAGTTATTTGAAGAACTGCCTTTTAGAAATATTATTCAAGAGATATAGGGAAGAATAAATCAGAAGGAGAGAGCAGTTAGAGGCAGTATCTATAATTCAGTCAGGAAGGGCAAAGGGTTCCCCCTGAGGCAGCTAGCTTTGCGGAGGTGGCGTTGTAATGAGTGCAGTAGACCACCAGAAGGAGCTGTGGGATACAAGAGTCGGGTAGCACAAAAAGAAGTAAAGACACCTTGAGAATTGGAGAGGATACCCAAGAGCAGTTTCACTTTCTTTATGTTGTGGCCTATCTTGGGCTCCATACTGCTCTGGTTGCTTTGGACAGATTAAAAAAAGGGTAAAATATGGTTTCTTGGTTGTGACAAGGACGGAGCACTAAGTGGCTGGAGGACAGGAAAAACATTTTATGGCAATTCTTTTTCACCATTTAAACTGAACCTGTATTATCTAGTCACAAAACTAAATTTAACATTAAAAATTGTTCCTATCTTAGTCAGAAAACTAAATTAAATATAAAAATGGCTCCTGCCTGACTGATGTGGCAAAGTGGATTGAATACTGACAGGCCTATGAACCGAAAGGTTGCCCGTTCAATTCCCTGTCAGGGCACATGCCTGGATTGCAGGCCAGGTCCCCGGCTGGAGGTATGTAAGAGGCAACAAATCGATGTTTCTCTCATACATCGATGTTTCCCTCTCTTCCCCCCTTCTCTCTCTGAAAATAAATAAATACAATCTTTAAAAAAATAAAATGGTTCCTATCTTTGAGGAACCCAAGTATTATTGGGCAACTGTATATCCACACCTAATTACATAAAACTGTAAGACAGTTTTAAGAGAATGACATAATAAGGGCCACAGAAAGTTAAAGAGGGTAAAGATTGATGTGTCTAAAATTCAGTTTATGTATATTGTACCATGTACCTCCCAAGTACATATTGTATACACAACTGCTATTTTTAGTACAATAATGGAAAACACACAGCAGATCCCTACTAGCACATTCAGAGTATCTGAATCTTGAAAGACAGAACAGTAGCTTGGCTTGTTAAATTGCTATCTAATGCTTTGCGAAGAGCTTTCACATTAACCAAGATACCATCAGGCCACATGGTGGCGATATTAAACAAATTGCAATGAGACTCATTAATTATGTTTGTGAGAATTTAAAAATGATTTGAAAGCCTTACAGGGTGAGACATTGTTTATTGTAATTTGGTCATTTCATTTAGCCCAATGTTTCTGATAGGGAAATGGACTGCTTATTAACAGGGAGGAGAGAAAGAAATCTAGTGTCTTTTTAATGACTTACCAAAATTATGAATTACTTTTAGAATGATTTGGCCAAACCATACTACTAAGATATGTTTTTAAATATAGCCTCAAAGTGATTACTCAGTATAGTATATTTCTTGTGGAGCTGTTTTCCTGTAGAAATGAGATCCTGCTTTAGTCAATCTGCATAATAGAACTTTTAAGGTTTTAAAAATGTGGTTCTACATTATATGCCCAACATATATATGTATGTATAATTATGAATAGTGTTTATAGGCATAGGTTTGATATTTTACTTCTGAGCCATTTCAGGCAGGTTATTAGAATAGTGAGCAAAAGTGGATCAAAGAGCAGTCCATGATGGAGAAAATTAAGTCTAGGGTTCTGGATGAAAAGCAGAAATCAGACAGGAAATGCACCAAGAAAATTAGCAGAAGTTGATGCGTAAGATGGAAGCAGCCAGAGCTCTGTAGCAAGTACAACTCAGAAAAGTGGTCAGGAACAAGGGCATAGACAGATACAAAAGGCCAGGCCAAAGCAGAAGCTTAGATACCACGTGGGTGAGTAGTCAGTAAGCAGATATACACGGAAAAGAAGAAATGAAGGATTTTGTTTGAACAAAAGCAAATATAAGAGCATATTCATCCATGTCCTGAAGATAAGAGTAAGCTACTTCACTTTACTAGATGGATGAGTGTGACTCAGGAGTCAGGGCAGATCGTGGTCCCACTCCCTTTTGTTAATTATGGGACCACCACTTTTCTAAACTGAAAGTATAGGTGGGATTCCTCAAGGTTATGTTACAAATGATCCTCATGGCAAGTAAATTCCCAATGACCTGGCAAATGATGTTTGTTTATATGCTGAACACTTTACATCTTTTTAAGTAATACCTAAGATTTGCTTTTCAGGAATCTGAGAACCGGCAAATGATGGACCAACTCCGAAAAGCCAATGAAGATGCTGAAAACTGGGAAAATAAGGCCCGGCAAGCAGAGACAGATAACAATACCCTTAAATTAGAACTTATCACTGCCGAGGCAGAGGGTAACAGATTAAAAGAAAAGGTAGATGCCCTCAATAGAGAGGTCGAGCAGGTAAGTTTAGGAAAATGAGCTTGTAGTACATCTACATCATATTCAGGAATTTTGTTCGGCTTTCCATAAATTAAAAACATAAACACACACAAATTATTTAAATATATTGTGCATTGTAGCCTGATAGCTGTTCTCTTTGTACCCATGCTGGTTTTCCTCTAATCTGTTACCTGCCCTACAATTAGAATAATCTGTAGCATTTTTTAAAATTAGGAATTATTTAAAACATACCAAAAAAAGTGCAAAATACAAGAAATATAAAAGACATGCTTATACCCCTCCCAGCTTTAAGGGTGCTAACATTTTTCTATATTTGCTTTCAAGTCTCTCTTTATGTAAAGAAATAAAACATTACAAGATCCAACTCTTCATCCTTTCCCCTTCTCCCTCCCTAATGGTTGGTGTGTAAAAGGGTTCTGTCAGTTGTAAAACTCTTTGGCATATGTCTAAACTTTAAGTTTCTTAAAAGTGATAATATAGGTATCCATTTGCAACTGGCATTTTTTTGGCTCAATATTATAATTTTGAAGTGTATTTTGATACAGTGTACATCTAAACAGATGAATCTATGTTCATTGTGTAAATACTTTCTTTTTAAAATTTATTCTTAACTGAAAGAAATTTGTCTTCATTTTTCAATAATAAATTGCACAAATAACCCATTTTGTTTCTCTTTGGTTATATATTTCTCTAGGTTTATGCTTGGAAGTGGAATAACTATATCCAAGATACATGCAGTTTTAACTCTTCTCTGTTTACTTTCTGATTACTTTCTAAAGTTTTATTCTTCTACCAGAAATCATGTAATTATCTTTTTCTCAAGTACTAATCAATACTTGGTATTACCAGACTTTTTGTTTTGTGTTTCCTTGATTGCAAGTGAAATTGAAGCTCTGTTCATGTTTCTTAGCCATTCTGGATTCATCTTTTATGAATTTTGTGTCAGTTTTCTGGAACGAATTTTCTTTTTTTTTTTAAAGTGTATTTTATTGATTATGCTATTACAGTTGTCCCATTTTTTTCTCCCATTTATCCCCCTCTTCCCAGCACACCCCTTCCCTCCCATAATGCACCCCACTTAGTTCATATCCACGAGTTGTACATGTAAGTTCTTTGGCTTCTCCATTTCCTATATTATTCTTAACCTCCCCCTGCCTATTTTGTACTTACCAATTATGCTTCTTATTCCCTGTACCTTTTCTCCCATTCTCCCTGCTGATGACCCTCCATGGGAGCTCCATTTCTGTGATTCTTTTCCTGTTCTAGCTGTTTGCTTAGTTTGTTTGTGTGTTTGTTTGTTTTTAGGTTCAGTTGCTGATAGTTATGAGTTTGTCATCATTTTGCTGTTCATAGTTTTCATCTTTTTCTTAGATAAGTCCCTTTAACATTTCATATAGTAAGGGCTTGGTGATGATGAGCTCCTTTAACTTGTCTTGGAAGCACTTTATCTCCCCTTCCATTCTAAGTGATAGTTTTGCTAGATAGAGTAATCTTGGATATAGGTCCTTGCCTTTCATGAATTTGAATACTTCTTTCCAGCCTCTTCTTGCCTGCAAGGTTTCTTTTGAGAAATGAACTGATAGTCTTATGGGAACTCCTTTGTAGGTAACTGTCTTCTTTTCTCTTGCTGTTTTTAATATTTTTCTCCTTATCTTTCATCTTGGGTAATGTAATTATGATGTGTCTTGGCATGTTCCTCTTTCGGCCCAACTTTTTAGGGATTCTCTGAGGACCTGGACCTGTATGTCTATTTCCTTTGCCAGATGGGGGAAGTTTTCTTTAATTATTTTTTCAAATAAGTTTTCAATTTCTTGCTCTTCCTCTTTTCCTTCTGGCACCCCAGGATTTGGATGTTGGGACATTTAAAGTTCTTCTAGAGGTTCCAAGCCTCTCATTTTTTTGAATTCTTGTTTCTTCATCCTGCTTTGGTTGAGCGTTTACTTCTTCCTTTGTTTCCAAATCATTGTTTTGAGTTATAGTTTCCTTCCCTTTACTGTTGGTTCCCTGTATATTTTGCTCTACTTTAATTTGTATAGCCTTCAGTTCTTCCTTTATTTTGCTACTGTACTCAATCATTTCTGTGAGCACCATGATTACTGGGGTTTTGAACTCTGCATCTGATAGGTTGGCTATGTCCTCGTTGCTTAATTCTTTCTTTAAATTGTTCTGTCACAGTTGTCCCCATTCTCCCATTTTCCCTTCAATACTCTCCCCTACTCTACCCACCCCCACCCCCCACACTCAATCCTGCCCCCTGCCCCTGTTGTCTTTGCCCGTGGGTCCTTTATATATGTTCCTTGACGCAACTTCCCCTTCTTTCCCCCATTGTTCGCATCCCTCTTGTTACTGTCAGTTTGTCCTTTATTTCAATGTCTCTGGTTATATTTTGCTTGCTTGTTTGTTTTCTTGATTAGATTCCACTTATAGGGGAGATAATATGATATTTGTCTTTCACTTTCTGGCTTATTTCACTTAGTATAATGCTCTCCAGTTCCAGCCATGCTGTCATGAAGGGTGGAAGTTCCTCCTTTGTTTCTGCTGTGTAGTATTCCATTGTGTAAATAAACCACAGTTGTTTTTTCTTTATTTTTCCAATTTTTATTTGCATAAATATGAACATAGCATTTAACTACATATGACACTAAGATCATGAACATAGTATGCAAGATATGGTGTATCATCACATTTAGAATTTTTTTTAAATTTTATTTTATTTTTTTTAATACATTTGTCTCTGCCTACCCCCCACCACTTTCCCTTACCCCCTCCCTACTTCCCTCCCTCACCTCTTCCCCTTTGGTGTTGTCCATGAGTCCTTGCTATATGTTCCTTGACTTTCCCCTTCCCTTCCTTTTCCCCGCCCCCCACCTCCTTCCCTCTAGTCTCTGTTGATTTCCTTTCAGTGTTGCTGGTCTTATTTTCCTTGTATCTTTATATTGTAGGTTAGGTTCCACTTATAGGTGAGATCATATGGTATTTGTCTTTTGACCCCTGGCTTATTTCGCTTAACATAATGCTCTCCAGTTCCATCCATGCTGTCGTGAAGTTTAGTACTTTTTTTCTTTCTGCTGCGTAGTATTCCATTCTGTATATGTACCATAACTTTTTGATCCAATCATCTACTGATGGGCATTTAGGTTGCTTCCAACACTTGGCTATTGTAAATTGTGCTGCTGTGAACATTGGGGTGCATAGGTTCTTTTGTATTGGTGTTTTGGGATTCTTAGGGTATAGTCCCAGCATGGGAATCACTGGATCAAAAGGCAGTTCCATTTTGAGCTTCTTGAGGGAATTCCACACTCCTTTCCACAGTGGCTGGACCAGTCTGCATTCCCACCAACAGTGTACTAGGGTTCCCTTTTCTCCGCAGCCTCGCCAGCACCTGTTGTTTTTTGATCTGTTTATGATGGCCATTCTGACCGGTGTGAGGTGATACCTCATGGTGGTTTTGATCTGCATTTCTCTGATGGCTAGTGATGCTGAGCATCCTTTCAAATGCCTCTGGGCCCTCTGTATCTCCTCCTTGGAAAAGCGTCTGCCCAGGTCCTTTACCCATTTTTTGATTGGATCGTTTGTCTTCTTGGAGTGGAGTCGAGTGAGTTCTTTATATATCTTGGAGATCAAACCTCTATCTGATGTATCATTAGCAAATATACTTTCCCATATGGTTGGCTCCCTTTTCATTTTGCTAATGTTTTCTTTTGCCGTGCAGAAGCTTCTTATTTTGATGAGGTCCCACTTGTTTATTCTTTCCTTTATGTCCCTTGCTTTGGGAGACATATCAGTGCAAAAATTGCTGCGTGGAATATCTGAGAGTTTCCTGCCAATGTTCTTCTCTAGGACTTTGATGGTGTTGCAACTTATATTTAAGTCTTTTATCCATCTTGAGTTTATTTTTGTGTATGGTGTCAGCTGATGATCCAATTTCAATTTTTTGCATGTAGCCATCCAGCTCTCCCAACACCATTTGTTGAAGAGGCTATTATTGCTCCATTTTGCTTCTGCCCCCTTTGTCAAATATTAGATGCCCATAGAGACCTGGGTTTATTTCTGGGCTTTCTATTCTGTTACACTGGTCTATGGGTCTGTTCTTGTGCCAGTACCAGATTGTTTTGAGTATGGTGGCTTTGTAGTAGAGTTTGATGTCCGGTATTGTGATCCCTCCTACTTTGTGTTTCTTTCTCAAAATTGCTGCGGCTATTCGGGGTCGTTTATGGTTCCATATAAATTTTTGAAATGTCTGTTCTCTTTCTGTGAAATACGTCATTGGTATCTTAATAAGGATTGCGTTGAATCTATAAATTGCTTTGGGTAGTATGGACATTTTGATGATATTAATTCTTCCAATCCATGAGCATGGTATATGCTTCCATTTATTTGTGTCTTCCTTAATTTCTTTCTTCAATGTTGTATAGTTTTCTGCGTACAGGTCTTTTACGTCTTTGGTTAAATTTATGCCTAGGTACTTTATTTTTCTTCTTGCTATATCGAATGGTATTTTTTTTTCTGATTTCTTCTTCTTCTGTTTCATTGCTGGTGTACAAAAATGCCTTTGATTTCTGAATGTTGACTTTCTATCCTGCTGGTTTGCCAAATTCACTTATTAGGTTGAGGAGTTTTTTGGTAGAGTCTACAGGGTTCTCTATGTACACTATCATGTCATATGCAAACAATGATAGCTTTACTTCCTCCTTTTCTATTTGGATGCCTTTTATCTCTTTCTCTTGTCTGACCACTGTGGCTAGGACTTCCAATACGATGTTGAAAAGAAGCGGTGAAAGCGGACATCCTTGTCGTGTTCCCGATCTTAGTGGGAAAGCTTTCAGTTTTTGCACGTTGAGTATGATGTTGGCTGTAGGTTTTTCATATATGGCCTTTATTACGTTGAGGAATGCCCCATTTATTCCCATTTTGCTGAGTGTTTTGATCATAAATGGGTGCTGTACCTTATCGAATGCTTTTTCTGTGTCTATCGAGATGATCATGTGGTTTTTGTCTTT